CTCGGGGGCCGGGGCCGCGGGCGGCGGAGCGGCGGGGCCCGAGGCCGCGGAGTCTGTCGGACGTGGGGTCCTGGCCCGCGGCCGCGCCGCCGCGCTTCCCCCGGGTGAAGGCAGGTGCCTGCGCGGCCGCCCCCTCCCCGCCGCGCGCCCCTGGGTTTTCGGGGTGGCTGGCGCCCACTGAAGACCTGCGTGCGCACTTCTGTTCGGAGGAGCCCATCCTCCTTTGTCTTTGCGTCTTTGTCCCCATCCTCCTATCACAAGCGTTGAAGTGATGGAGGAAGAATCTGTCAGTTTCCTGCTGGGGGCCTTTCTCCAGGCCGAGGGTGGCCGCGCCACAGAGGACAGTCTGAGCCTGAAACGGGAGGGGGAAGAGCCTCTCGGGCTTTTTGTCACCAGTGTGTCTGGCGTGTCGGGGCTCCGCTGGAGGAGCCCCAGGTCTTCAGACCCCCCCAGCTCGGCAGGACGGTACCGCCACCTCTCAAACTGTCCTGGTCTGAGCGGGCACGCTCAGAGCCTTGAGCTGGCCCTCCTGCCCGACTTAGGGTTAAGACAGATCTGCCTTAAATTTAGTTTTATGTTCTCCCAGCATTTGGGAGAGCTGTTGACAACTGAATTACCTGTGTTGGAAACATGTTGAGATTTGGGACTTAACAGGTTAAGAGCCATTTTGAAGGCTTAGTTGTAACTGTCATTGTTTAATAAAATGTCACATCATACAAGAGGAGCAACTACTGGATTTGAGGAAGCGCTTTGAGGGTCATGCATAGATCTGCAAGAGTTATTACGGCTCCCAGGTAAAACTCCTTTCTTCACACTAACATGTCCAACTGTCTTGGATATGAAGAAGAAAGAGTGACAAAGGCACCTCATCACAGTCCAGCTACGACTGGAATAAAGTTGAGGGTCACGCCTTCCCTGAGTGATAGCCAGTGTCCTGGGGCCCCAAATGCACGTCTGGCTCTTCCTGCGAAAGATGTGCCTCCTCTCCTGTCCGTCCAGTAGCAGCCCCCCATGGGCCCATACCCGTTCGACTCTGGTCAGCACATGGTCTCATCCAGGCAAAGCTGATGGGAGTCTTTCTGAGATCTTTTTGAAGACTTCCGTCTTCTTTTTTGGCTCTTGAAATGAAACATTCCACACAAGTGTGGAATTTTGCATTTGATCTAGGCCCCGGTGGGAGCAGATTGGCACACACACACCTGGAACTTACTGCCTGTGCTGTGGCGCGTGCCGAGTGTGGAGGGGCTCTGGTGCCACAGCCTTCCGGTGCGGTCTCGCAGGAGGCCCGCGGCCCACGGGTTAGGTGTGACGGCTGAGTCGAGGCTCTGGGGCTGAGTGTGGCGCTTTGGACCCTTTGGAGGTTGTTTGTGTTTTAAATAGTCTAATTCAATTCCTTTTGTTTATTTAAAAACTATAGAGATTCACCCATTTCACTAACGTGTCTTGGGGAAGGAAGACGGTGATTCATTCCTCGGATATGGTCCCTTCTCTCCTGTCCTCTTCGTGGGGCCTTTAGCTGGTTATTTTTTCACCACTGTGTCCAGAGGACCTCCTGTCCTGTATGCTGCCTGAGCCTCACGTTTCCTCAGCAGGGTCAGTCATTTCTTCTGCACAAGCCATTTTCCTCCTTGAACGAGAGTAGAGTACCTGGCTTCCCAGCCAGGTTTTACCCACCCACCCGGCCTGAAGAAACTGGAAGGGCCCTGCTCCCACCGCGAACCCTGCAGGCTGAGGTGAGGAGCCATTCTCGCGATGAGTGAATATTTCCACTCCTTTGGAGTTGCTTCACATTGTAGCTTTGTCCTAGTAGAAGAAACCCCGCTTTCTGGCCCTAGGATACGCCCTTCCTTAAGCTTTGCAGTTGATGAGGAATCTGGGAGTTGGTGTCTGTTATTTGTGTTCTTTTGATCCTTTGTGGCTCCAGGAGGCCCAAGGTTGAGTGACAGCCAAATCTGGTTGTTTCTAGTCCCTCTGTTCCCTCAAATAACCATGCTGTCGTATGAACCATTTATTGCCTCCCGTGGGAAACTGGTCCCAGCTGATGCTTAACGTTAACCAGACTGCTCCCTTTGACAAGCAGGCGTGCTCCCTTCCTTGGCTGCCAGGTGATGATCCCTAGTCTTGGATATTAAGTGGAACACTCTCTAATTTAATTTGGGGGGGGAGGACACAGGTCAGTTATAACTCCATTAAGTGGACAGGCAAGAGAGGATGACACACTCTCACCAGATTGTGGGGTGGAGGAGGTTTTTAAGAAGCAGTTATCTTGGAAATTTGAGGTGCTGGAGCCCAAAGGACAGCCTGGTCATTCACTCTGCCAGCTGCGATTTTCCAGGAAATAAGTTGCCTGTGATCAGTTACCATGTTTTCCAGAAGGTAAGCCTGTTTGCTTGAGCCAGGGAAGCGTGTATGCAAGAGAGCCCCTGACTGCTGGTGGGTCAGCTCTGAAGGGTCAGGACGGGCTGTCTCCGTCCGCCTGGTGCCCTGGGATGAGCGGCTCACGTCCCTGTGCTTGCTGCTTTCCCTAGTCACCGGGGCTCTGAGGGGTAGAGAGAGCCTGTCACAGGGCTAATGAGCAGAGGAGTTGGTGCCAGTAACCAGCCACCTTCTTCAGCCGACGCCCATCTTGAGCTGAGAAGCGTGCTACCTGAAAGTGTGGAGGCGTCTGTGCCGTACGATATTCCAGCAGATGGCTGGTGCCCTTCGGTTTTTCTTAGAAGGATGAGATTTTGAGTTTTACCAGCAGGTTGGTAGGAATTTAGCCCTAGCTCAGTAAAGTGAAAATGAGTGCTTCTGATTTATTGGGGCACTCTTACTGCGTTTTATTTACTGGGTGGTGTCGTATCAAGCATCTTGACAATATTTAAAAAGACAGGAAAGTGTGTGAACTGCCAGGATCTCTTACATTAAAGCCTAGTGTTCTCTACCAGCTGCATCAGCTCTTGTTTGCCTGGCTTGTGAGACGATCGTGACTTTTGCGGATGTCGGCTGTTCATTTTTGGTGTGTTGAGGCTCAGCTCTTCTTATACCTTAGGATGAAGTTATCCCTACCTTTTCTCTCTCGGAGTCGTCCTCCCGCCCAGGTGGCAGGCAGCGCAGCGCAGACTTCTTCTATAGCTGATACAGACCCTAAGTGATTGTCTTCTTTTAGTTATTTCTTTTTGTCTCTTAGAAATGAAGACCCTTTCTTCCATCATTTGGCCTTTGCTTAGCCTTATCTGTCTTGCTCCCGCAGATACGTCACAGAAAATGCGTTTTCTCTTTCCTCCCACCGCCGCTACATTGAGCTGGGGAGGGGGAGTCGTCTCTCCCCCACTTCTCCTGGCGTCCGATGCCACCCACACAACTGTGTTGGTTCCCCATTTAGGGGCCTAGAGAGGTGATCCTGCTGGCTGAAAGTCTGCTTTCTGGTTCTCATGGGCACTTTTCTGGCTCTCTTACAGTGTAGCGTAAGCACTGTCACCTGCGAAGGGAGCCCCTCAAGGATCCAGACGCACTCCTGGGCATGTGGCGGGCACTGAGCCGAGCGGAAGGCGGCCACGCTCGGAAAAAGGCCAGTGTTGGAGTTTTCTTTTTCCTTTTAGCCGTGGTTTTGTGGTGCTTACCAGCCCCCGGAAGAAAGGGGGCTTCTCCAGAGCGCTGCTCAGAACCCCCTCCTCCCAGAACAGTCCGCTCACGTTCTTCCTCTGGTAGCTTCCCTGTCAGCGCTGCCAAGTCTCACGTCCCTGGCAGACCCTTCAGAGCAGTAGCTTGTGTTTCTGACCGTATCCTTTACCCTCCATGCTCTCCTTCAGATCTTCCCTTCTAAGCCACGTTTTGGAAGGATAATGTTTTTGTCTAGTGGGGTGAAAGGAGAGAGAGGGGAGCGAGGAAAACAGGAGAGGAGAGCAGGGACTAAAGGCCAGAGAGTGAGTTAAGGAGAGAGGGCAAAAGATGTCTTAGAAAGGAGGTCGGGGGTCCCTATTGGGATTGGATTAAAGGTGTAATCAAGAACCTAGGGTCAGGGTGAAAACCCAGATTAACAGACTCGGTCTGTCCTCATTCACCTCGGGAAAAGGAACTGGAAAAATTAAACTTCCCAACACAAATGGCTTTAGAAAGCTAACTTCATTTAACACGCTTGGGACTCTCCCCTTCAGCTTAACTTTGTAGATTGAATGTTAGTTTAGTCCTTCTCTAGCGAGATAAAATGAGACAACCGTGTACGTCTGTGTCTCTTGCATTGTAGTCTCCCTGCCATAACCGTCCCAGAGTAAGTTACTCACCTGTTCTGGTAATGCTTTCTAAAGAAATCATGTTCATTTTTCAGCAAAACTGGAAATCCCCCAACACACACAAAAAGAAAAGTGCCTTTTTCTTTACAGATATACTTAGGTATATTTCTTTTAAACATATTGTGTGATCTCTGTTAAGTGCATATCTGTAAATGGGCTTTTTACTACTTCACAGAGGTCATGAGTGGATGAGAGCAGCTGTGTTGATCAGATTTAACATAAGTCAGACACTTGAGGGCTTTTTCTGGCTTTTCAGTCTGTGTTGCACAGAATTCACTATCAACACTGCAGTACCTCTGTCACTCCTTGTACATGATTCTTCATGTAGCTTGGAAGTAAATTAAAATTAAAAATAAAACTAAATTCTATGGTTTGAAACTCTTCTGTGGTGACTGATATGCCTATATTTCTAGTGGGTGTGTGGTCTGGACAGAATAAACAGATTAAATAGAGCTGTAGGTGGCATTTTCCCTCTTATACCCACTGTAACCTAGTGCAGGTGAGTTCTTCGTCTTTGAATTTTCTGGGTTTCCAAACCAGAGTTGATCATGTCACTGTTTTCGAAACTCTGGGAGCCTATAGAAAAGGAAATCTGTTTATCCATTCTGTTTTAAAAATCTGTCTTTAGGTTGGAGGGTGTAGCTCAAGCGGTAGAGTGCATGCTTAGCATACACAGAGTCCTGGGTTCAATCCTCAGTACCTCCTCTAAAAATAAATAAGTAAACCTAATTCCCACCCCCCCCCCAATTTTTTTTTAATTTGTCTTTAGTTAACAGTGATGATATTCTTTGAAGATGTTCTTTTGCATTAAAGCTTTTGAGCAGAGTCATATTATTGGAACCTTCTTTCCTACGTGGAAGAAATAAACTTGCAGAGAAAATCCATTCTGTAATGCTTGTTGTAGGCATGAATCCTGGGTTAACTTAGGTTCCTGAGCCCCACATGGATCTGAATCTCCTGATGGTCTCTTGCTCTCCCCTTCCTTGGCAGTCTCAGGGATGTGTGCAACGAAGTGATTGGGGGAAATTGGGGTGTGATCTTTGATAGGGTGCTGGACGGGATGAACTGAAAGGTTGTGTTAGAGCGAAGAGCCTCCCAGCTGTTGTGACCCTCACAGTCCTGCCCCACCCCGGCACTCATCTGGAAAAAATGTATTTGCGCTCAGCTTTTCTTGAAAAAGAGTAGACCTGAGGTTCTGCGTCTGGTGAGCAAGGACCCACGTGCAGAGTGTGCCTGGCCTTCGTGCCACAGTGACTCGGGATTTGTTAGGTTTTTTTTATTGTAAATGGGTTAGGTGGGATCAGATCAGTGTCTCACATCATACAAACAAAGAAATTCCAAGTGGATTAGGAGTCTAAATATTAAAAAAAATGAAACTCTAAGTTTTAGAAGAAAGTATTGGTGAATTTTTCTTTATCCTTGGCATAAGAAAAGACTATGACTCAAAATCTAGAGGCAACAAAAGAAGATTGATGAATTTGACTGCATTAAAATTTTTAATTTGCATGACAAAAATACCACATAAAAGTCAAGAGATAGCTGACAAAGAGGAAGGAATTTTTCATGGTATATACCACAGACAGAAGGATAATATCCTTAATATATAAAGAGCTCTTGAAAATTAAGAAACAAAGGACCAAAACCCCAATCGAAAAATGGGGGTGAGACATGGACAGTTTACCTCTCCTACCAGAAAAAGACATTAGAACAGCACTCAAACATACAAAAAAAAGTCACTCGTGGTTAGTCAGATACAAATTAACCAGCACTGAGATATCATTTCTCTTCTGTCAGACTGGAAAATTGTTCAGTATGATAGCGCACCCCGCTGGTGAGGCAGCGGGGGAGCACTCTCAGCGGCGCCCATGGGTGTGCAGCGGGACGGTCCCGCTGGAGGGAGAGGTGGCCACACCAGACCCTCTGCACACGTGCTTTCCGTCCAGCAGCCCCACTGCTGGGAGTCCATCCTGAAGACATGCATTCAACAGTGTGAAATGCTAGTTACTGCAGCATTGTTTCTGAAGGCGAAATTGTTGGAAGCAATCTCGTTGCCCTACAGAGGAAAGTGGTTGAAGAAAGAGTGTGTGTTCATACAGTGGTATACTGTGCGGCTGTGAAAACAGAATGAGGAATCCAGAGGAACTGATTTGAAATGACTTCCAGGATATCACGTTAGCTGATTAAAAGCAAATTGAAAAGAATATAATACACTACTTTTCATGTAAGCAAGAAGATGCAAGAAAATGCCCATGTACCCACCAATTCACACAACAGAGACCCAGGAAAGATAAACCAGAAACTGGTTGCCCACGTGGAGTGAGGGGAAGGGGCGGAAGGAAGTTGACAGGGATGAGGAGGGAGCGGTGCTTCCTGGGGTACGCCTTCTATGTACCTCTAACTCCGAGAATCCTAGTTGAGTTTTACATACCCCCAGGTAATCAAACAGTGCGGGGGGGCCCCAGGTGGGCTATAGTTAGTAACAGATTGTCCTAACTGTGCTGCAGATGAGTAATCTAACTGTTAGGTGTTGGAGGTGGAGAACTAACCTAGTTTTGGAGAACAGTATTTTGACTCCGTCCTGTAAGACCCAAGCCAAAAGGAACCGTACGCCGAAACTGTGCTCCAGTGAATGTGTCTGTTTTTCACAAGAGTGTGAGTTAATAGTTCTGTAATTAGTTTATTTGTGTGCTGAGATTGAGCAAATAAGTAAATTCACTGTAGGTAATGAGAGCCAGGTTTATCGCTGTCGGAGAAAGAATTGCTAATAAGGAAAGGAGGAGAAGTGGAATGAACCTTGAGATCCCGGATTGGATTTGAGTTATCAGTGGGTGGACGGATGGCTGGGCAGGCAAACGGACGGACAGATGCGTGTGTAGGCATAGGTTAGTGTGTATACATGTATTTCCTACTGCTGTTCTTGAGGGGGGCTAGGAACAGTGACACCCCAGGAGCAGTGAGCACACCTGGCGCCCAGATCTCGACCTCTAAGTAGCATGCTCTGCTAAAAACACCAGGACTCCTTGGAGGAAAAGTTGATTCCAGGGCTTAAGCAGAGAAAATGCAAAAGGAGCATAGAGTATCTTGTGATAACAGAAAAGTGCTTGGGAAAGGGTGGGGGCACGTAGCAGTGCACAGAGCTCACGAGAAGGTGTGCTGATGGCCAGAGGGGACATCTGAGCAGTGGGATGAAGGATGTTAGGACTGGGTTAAAACCCATAGCGTAACGGCAGTCAGCACGGGTCCACGCTGGTCTAAAGAAAGAAAGGAGGGGGGGCAGTTCTTCCTCACAGAAGAATTGCAAGGAATTAAGTGTGAACATAATGAAAGAAATATGAAAGCACCATTAGACGAACAACCCAGTAATAATTGTTGAGGACCCACAGGTGGATGCTAAAATCAGTGAGTGAAAGTTTGAAGAGAAACAGGATATTAGCATAATCTCAAAGTTATCTCTTCCAAGATTTTTTATCATCTATAAAGGGAGAAACAATGCCTTTACAGTGGAGACACCCAGGAGATCCCACATTACCGGGTAATGGTGGTTGGCATTACCAGTAATAAAATGTATCAACATTATGTGCTCTCTGACACGATTTACCAGGGACACATCCTCACTTCTCTGATATTCTTGCCAAAAACAGGTAACTTCCGTCTAAGCATGAGGAACCGTCAGTCATATTCACGTTGAGACATGTTCTACAAAATAACTGGTCATTACTTATCAAACCTGACCTGGTCACAAAAAAACAAGGAAAGAGTGAAGGATTGTCATGCATTGGAGGGAACTGCTTTTAAGTCTAAAAATTATTGCAAAATAAAACATTAAAAAAAAATAAACATAGATCATTTTCATTCGTTTTTAACCAGTTTTCTTGGATAAGCCTTGAACATGCAACGTTGTGTGGGACAACTTTTTCCCAGTGTTCAGCTTTTCTGTTGCATAAGTACGTGTCGGATGGCCATTACAGTGGAGTCCCGTCATGGTGGTTAGAACTTGTCATGGAAAGTAACTGTAGTTGCATAGATAGGAACGCCAGTGTTCTCATGATAGGCGATAAAAATAATAGCACAATAACTGACATACATATATTTTTAGTTACGGAATTTTCGATTTTCTTGTGATGAGAACTTTTAAGATTTATACCCTCAGCAACTTTCAAGTACGCAGCACAGTGTTGTTGACAGGAGTCGACCTGCTGTGCATCACTTCCCTAGGGCTTATCTGTCTTACAACTGGAAGTTTATACCTCTTTACTCCCCTCACCCATTTTGCCCACCCCCACCATCTGCCACTTCTGGCAGCCACCAGTCTGTTCTCTGTATCTGTGAGCTTGGTTTTTGGGGGGTTATCTTGTTTTGTTTGTTTTAGATTCCACACATAGGTGAGACCATATGGTATTTGCTGACTGACTTCACTTAGTGTGATGCCCTCAAGGTCCATCCGTGGTGTGGTAAATGGCAAGACCTCATTCCTTTTTATGGCTGAATAATATTCTATTGTGTGTGTGTATCTATACATACACATGTATACATATTCTTTATCCATTCATCCATTGATGGACAGTTAGGTTGTTTCCATATCTTGGCTGTTGTAAATAATGTTGAAGTGAACATGGGGGTGCATACATCTTTTTGAGTTGATGTTTTCATTTTCTTTGGATGAATACCCAGAAGTAGACTTGCCGGATCATATGATAGTTATATTTTTAATTTTTTCAAAAACCACCATCCTGTTTGCCACAGTGGCTGCACCGTTTTACGTTCCCACCAGCAGTGCACAGAGGTGCCCTTTCCTCTGCAGCCTTATCACACTTGTTAGTGCTTATCTCTTTGATAATAGCCATTGTGAAAGGTGTAAGGTGGTATCTTACTGTGGTTTTGATTTCATTTCCCTGACGGTTGAGCACCTCTTCATGTGCTTGTTGGCCATCTCTATGTCTCCTTTAGAAAAGTATCTATTCCAGTCCTCAGCCTATTTTAAAATCAGATTGTTTTATTAAATTCTGTGAATTCCTTATATATTTTGTGCGTTAAGCCCTTAGCAGGTATATGATTTGCAGATGTGTTCTCCCGTTTAGTAGGGTGCCTTTCTGTTTGGTTGATGGTTCCCTTTGCCCTACTGAGTGTTTTAGTTTGATATGGTCCTACTTGTATTTGTTGCCTTTGCTCTTGGTGTCAGATCCAAAAATCATCACCAAGATCAGTTTCAGGGAACTTACTGCCTACAGTTTCTTCAAGGAGTTTTATGGTGTCAGGGCTTACATTTAGATCTTTAATCCATTTTAAGTTAATTCTTGTGCATGGTATAAGATAGTGGTCCAGTTTCATTCTTTTGCATGTGGCTGTCCAGTTTTCAAAGCACCATTTATTGAAGAGTCTGCCCTTTCTCACTGTATATTCTTGGCTCCATTGCTGTAAATTAATTGCCCATGTATTTGTGGACTTATTTAGGGTCTCTCCTGTTCCACTGATCTGTGTGTCTGGCTCTATTCCGATACCATCCTGTTTGGGTTGCTATAGTTTTGTAATATAGTTTAAAACCAGGGCCCGTGATCCCTCCAGCTTTGTCATTTCTTAGGATTGTTTTGGCTGTTTGGGTCTTTTAGACCCAAATTTTAGAGTTGTTTGTTCTGTTTCTATGTACCAGAGCCATTGGATTTGGATAAGGATTGCCACATCAATTCCAGAGCCAGGTTTCTAACCCCCTGATCTGTCACCCCCAAATGGGAGTGGTGAGCCAGTTGTGACCTGTGCACCTACCACACCAAGTGGTTCTGAAAAGCTGCTGTTAATTCTGGAGGACAGAATGTGAGTCACATGCGAACATTTTGGTTTTCTAGTCGCTGTATTAAAAAGGGGAGAAGAAACTGGTGACATTAATTTTTAATACTGTAATCATGTAACCTGTTGTATGCAATGTATTTCAATGTCTAACCAATATAACCTTTATTAAAATACTTTAATTATTTTGTTTTGATACTAAGTTTGCAATCTGGTGTGCATTATACACTGACAGCACACGTCAGTTCTCCCTGGCCACGTTTCAGGTGCTCAGCACATGCTCGTTGCTGTCGGCTACCGCATTGGACAGCACAGCCCTAGAACGTGAGATGTGAAAATTAGGATGCGCTCTTGGTTTTACATTCTACTTCTTCCTCTTTTCATAAATAAATATTTGATAGTTTATTCCTTTGCAAGTGTGAATTAGATCTAAAGTAAACCTTTTATTCTTATAAAATACACTTACTATAAAATTGCTGTCTTAACCTTTTTTTTTTTTTTTGAAACGCAGTCAGTTTACAAAGTTGGGTCAGTTTCTGGTGTGCAGCATCGCGTTTCAGTCATACATACATTCCTTCTCAGATTCTTTTTCGTTGTAGGTTACTTCAGGGTACTGACCATGTTCCCTGTGCCTGACAGTAGAAACTTGTTTACCCCTGAGCGCACAGTGCAGTGGCACTAAACGTGTTCACACTGTCGTGCAGCCCTCACCACCCTCCATCTCACCTTGTGAAACTGGAGCTCTGTGCCATTCCCACCCCACCAGTGCCTGCGCGGGCCCTTACGCCCATTGTGCTTCTGTGCTGAGGGTGGACGCCTCCAAGTCCCCTCGTGCAAGTGGGTGTGTGCAGTCTTTGTCTTCTGGGGACTGGCTTATCCGCTTGGCAGGATGCCTCAGGGTTCATGCATTGTAGCCGTTGTAGTATATTGCGGAATCTCCTTCCTTTTAAATATTCCCTTGTACACGTGCACCACATTTTGCTTATCCATTCGTCTTTTGGTGGGCACTTGGGCTGCTTCCACACTTCAGCTGCGGTGAGCAATGCTGCTGTGAACGAGGCGTACAGCGATCTCTTCGAGGCCCTGCTTTCATTTCTTTTGGGTAAACCCAGAAGTGGAATCATGGTGATTCTGTTTTAAAGGCGCCACTGCACTGCTCTCCAAGTGGCTGTGCCATTTTACGTTCTCCAGCAGTGCACAAAGGTTCTAGTTTTCTCCACATTCTCTCCGGCGGTTTTCCGCTTTTTTAATAGAAGCCATCCTGATGGGTGTGAGGTAGTATCTCAGATTTTACTTTCATTTCCCAAATGATTGGGGATGTTAAGAATCTTTTCACGTGCTTACTGGCTGTTTGTATGTCTTTGGGGAAATGTCTTTTAAGTCTTACGCCCGTTGAGCTGGGTCATGTTGTTGAGTGGTAGGTAGGGTTTCTTTATATAACTGGATGTTAATCCCTCATCAGGTATGACTGCAAGTTTTCCCCCATTCTGTGGGTAGCCGCTTCACTCTGCTGCTAGTGTCCTGTGAGCACATAAGCTTGAAATTTTTATGAAGTCCAATTTGTCCACTTTTCTTTTGCTACCTGTGTCTGTAGTGTCACATCCAAGAAGTCATTGGCAAAGCTAGCGTTGTGAAGCTTTTGTCCTGTGTCTTCTTCCGAGTTGCTTTGTTTTCGGTCTTACATTTAGGTCCTTGATCCGTTTTGAACTGATTTCTGCGTGTGGTGTGAGGTGGGGGTCCCGTGTGGTCCTTCGGCACGCGGCTGCACCGTCTGTTGAAAAGACTGTCCTTCCCCGCTGCATGGTCTAGTCCATCATCTGTGTGACTGTCTTTCTGCCAATACCATGTTGTATTGATTACTGTAGATTCGTGGTAAGTTTTGGAATTGGGACGTGTGAGTCCTCCAGTTCTGGTCTTTTTCAAGATGATTTTGGCCATTTGGGGTCCCTTGAGAGTCCACATGAATTTGAGGATGGGTTTTTCAATGAGTGCAAAAAAGACCATTGGGATTTTGATAGGGATTGCACTGAAGGATCTAAATTTTAATTTGGGAGAAATGATGAGTCGTCTGTAGCCTCGCAATACGCAGTGTAAGATTACTGCTTACATTGCTTGTCAGAAACTGTTCACTTACAACAGTTGTATTTTTAGGACTAAGCTGGCTAAGGCCAGATTTTCTTAGATTTGATCTTCTCTTACCTGGTGGTGTGTATTTGGGCAACTTCTGAAATCTCACCTTTTAGCTTTTCTTTGGGGTATAGCTAGTCCTGGCTTTTCAGTTAGACACTAAATTTCTTGGTCTAAGAGGAAGATTTGCCACCTTGGAAGGAAAGGCAGCTGGAGGGTGCTGTGCAGTGGCTTCAGGGAGCAAGAGGTGCTGCCCCTCCCTTCGTGGGCAGCCATCCCTGCAGGCCGCCCAGGCCCTCGCGCGTAGAGGACTCGTCCTCGCAGTGACCAGCACTCTCAGGGGCCACAAACCACGCTGCTTTCTGCAACCTTTCCTGTTGGTGTCAGGCTCAGAGCTCAGTAAATCGCTGTGACTCTCTTGGGTGCTCTTGGACTCACAGTAAAACTTCCTCTTCCAGAATTTGGTGTTCACCTGGCAGAGCTGACCGTGGACCCTCAGGGGGCACTGGCAATCCGTCAGGTGAGTCGACACTGATTGGCGCCATTTATAAATAGCGGAGGATTTTGTACCAGGTTCGGAGAAGCTACAGTGGGTGGCGGGCCGCGTGCAGTCTCTGCGTGAGGAGCCCCTTCTGCTGCGCCACTCAGCTGCTTCTCTTCGCAGCTGGCGTCGGTCATTCTGAAGCAGTACGTGGAGACTCACTGGTGCGCCCAGTCAGAGAAGTTCCGGCCCCCGGAGACCACAGAAAGGGTAATGCTTATCTCCGTGGCGGCTGGAGGGGCCACCTTATGGGGCTGGGCTGTCAGCATCCTCGGACGGCGTGGAGCAGAGACGAGGCGGAGGGGCAGCGCAGCGGCTCGGAGACTGGCTTGCTGCCGGAGCACCGGGCTGGCCTGCGTTCGGATTCCAGTTCTGCTGCCGAACCGCTGTGAGATACTGGAAAAATACGTTAACTTTTAAGCTTCAGTTTCCTCAGTATCTGTTCGAAGTTTCAATGAAGTAGTTTGTCCTGCGCCCAGGGCCGTGCAGCGCAGTGGCCCAGACACTGGGGCGTGCTGTCTGGGCGCTGCCGGCCCGCGGGGCTGTGTCTGTGCTCCTGTCGCTCTGCCACCGTGGGCCCTGAGCGCTGAAGTGTGGCTGTTGCCCGAGGACTGGAGGCTGTAGTCTGACCTGACTTTAATTCATTTAATGTAGGTGGACAGTGTACGTTTAGAAGTTGTAGGTGAGTGCCTGGGCTGAACTGTGTCCAGTCCCAGGGGACCTGCTGATCACCGGGGCTCTGCCTGTCACCTACAACCTGGTCTGACGGCAGTGGGGCTTTTCTCCTCTGCAGGCAAAAGCTGTCATCCGGGAGCTGCTGCCCAACGGGCTGAGAGAGTCGATAAGCAAGGTGCGCTCCAGCGCGGCCTACGCCGTGTCGGCCGTTGCCCACTGGGACTGGCCGGAGGCTTGGCCCCAGCTCTTCAGCCTGCTCATGGAGATGCTGGTGAGCGGAGACCTGAACGCGGTCCACGGAGCCATGCGCGTGCTGACAGGTACCAGGAGCCTCTCTCTGCCTTTGTGCTTGGCTCCCAAGTGACCAGAGTGCTTATTAAATGCTGCGGGCTGGAGTGGCTCTGAGCAGAACGAGTTGAGTTATGCGGCGTTCCCAGGTGCCCCCTTCCTGGTTTGCACCCCGTGTCTCTCTGCCCATTTGGTCGCCCCTCCCCAGGGAAGGAGACCCTCCCACTCAGGACAGGGTTGTGGTGGGGGGGAGTAAAGCTCCCAAGTTCCTGTTCGTGTTCTGCCTTTACCTCCACCACCTTGCCGAGGCCCCTGAGCCCGAGTTCCCTTGCGTGTAGAGTTAAGTTTTGGGGAGTTTGAACAAGCTGATCTGTGTCAGGTCTGGCGCGGTGACTGGGAGCACACAGTGAGTTGTGGCCATTGTGATCATCAGTGGTGTTACGTATTACTTTTCTGTTTGGTTCAACCAAGGCAAAGTTAAGAATAGCCAAGTCGAGTTTTTACAGACGTATAAGAAAGAAGTTAGGTGAGGAGGGCATATCTCAAGTGGTAGAGTGCATGCCTAGCAAGCTGAGGTCTCAGGTTCAATCCCCAGCACCTCCTCTAAAAATACATAAATAAATAAATATACCTAATTACCTCCCCCAAAACAAAAAAATTTTTTTTCAAAGGTAAAGACAGTGTCACTATAACCCTGACCTTCGTTTGCCAGCTTAGAAGATACGGAGTTTTAATTTCTTTCTGTTCTGAAACGTGGGTAAAAGTGCTTGAACTTTCTTTAGTCCAGGGACATAGCGACTCTCCTCTAAGCTTGACTCACTTACTGCTCCCTCGCCAGACCTGGTCTGGAACACCATCTGCGAGGCTGAGTCTCCCAGTCTCTTGTGGGCTCTGCCCTGCACCCTCTCCCGGGTGGAGCCACTGCTCTGCTCTGCCTTCCAGGAGCCCTCATGCGGACACTAGCTGTGGGGACTGATGTTTTGGAGGTTTACGTGGGTTGTGCAAGTCTCAGCCAGGCCTCACCTCCTTCTCTGTGATCTGCTACTGTTTGAATCTCAGTTTACTGAGCTCAGCGTCTGGGCCCAGTTGTGCCAGTCCATGTCATGTCCATGTAGATGATGCCGATTCTGTGTCCAGGAGCAAATCCTCCCTCTCCCGTTGTTTCAGACCCCCTCTTCCCGTGCCCCAGCTGCGTGTATGAATGGTCCACTGTATTGGATTGATTTTCTGTGACAGGTGCCCAGGGCGTGGGTCAGACCCACCAGGAAGTTCAAACATTCCTCGCTCGGGTTTTCACTTCCCTGCAGGTCTCCCTTGCCTGCCGTGTAGGACTGTCATTCAGGTGCCTCCACACACCCTCCCCACGGAACTAGCCTCCTAGGATCCTTTGTCTGCGACGTCGTTATGCCAAAGTAGCGGTTCCCAGATGCACTTACTACTAAGGAAAGGAAGCCTGTTCCCTCCATCCTGCCAACACAAAGTTCACTTCTTTTTTAAACACCTGGAGAAGAAGTAGTTGTGCATGATGCGTGTGGTCAGCTTGCTGAGGAGCCTTCCTTGTGCTTGACTAGGGAGGCCACTGGTCAGTGAGGTCCCCTTGTGTCAGCCACGGGAGAGCCGTGGGGAAGTGTGTGTCTTCAGGAACAGAGTCCGCAGACGTGGAGTGGCCAGCTCTGGCCTCCGATCCCAAATAGCGGCTCCGCCCGTCATCAGATGAGGGTGGACCTACAGCAGTGGCTCCGGCACACGCAACATGCAGGGCATTGGCACTGGTCAGGAGCCCAGGGGCGGACGGGTTCTCGTCAGGGGCCTGAAGGTGCTGTACCAGCTCCCCTTTAACAAGGCTTCTCGTTCGGCCTGTCCATCCGTACGTGGGAGCGGAGGCCGGCGGTGGGAAGGAAGTGTAGACGGAGCAGCGGAGGGTTGAAGCTTCCCGTCCACGAGCCACAGCTTTGTCTTTGGGGCTTGATGATGCAGGCGTCCCAGGCTTTTCCTGACTCAAGTGCCTTCAGAAGACTTGTTATGGACGTAAGCTTATAGAGTGTAGATAGAGTGAGACTGAGGAACGACCGTCAGAGTCCGAAACGCAGCTGATGGAGCAGCAGTTAGGTGAGCAGGCACCGGGGCCCAAGGGCTGGTGTCCCACACGACCCCGCTTCCTTCTGCGGTCTCGGCACCGTGTGAGGGTTCTGGGAGTGCAGAGGAAGCCGGGACCCGTGTGTGCCCCGCCTTCTACAGGTCTCCTCACACGTCTAGGCTGCTCCCTGCTGCGTCCGTAGGAGAAATCCCTCCCTGTTCCTCTGAGAGGCAGCCTCTGGCTTGGGGGTCAGGAAGGTCACCCCCGGGGAGAGCGAGCTCTGCAGAGGCGAAGCCCGGCACGTCTGTGCACGCTCCGTGTGCGTGTCCGCACCCCTCGGGGAGCGCTGCAAGGGGAACCGAGGTGCGGCAGCTCCAGGCGCACCGGAGTGCTGACACACAGGCACAGACTGGAGGGATTCAGACTTCCCTAAGGTGACCTCACGGGGGCTCCACGCGTCTGTTCCGCATTTTCTTTCAACGTGTATCTGAAGGCTGTCTGTCTTCACCTCACGTACTTCCTTGCAGCGCTGTTGTTTCTTCCCCTGCTGATGAGTGCTGCTCTTCCCCAGCCCCAGGGAAGGCTGCCAGGCCAGCCTTTCCCTTTCCCTGTTGGGAGCTGCCGCCCAGGAGCTGTTGGGCGGCTCTCACACTCAGAGTCTTCGTGAAGCAGTGTTTTCACAGCGCCCCTTTCCCTCGTAGAATTCACTCGAGAAGTGACGGACACGCAGATGCCGCTCGTTGCCCCTGTCATCCTTCCAGAGATGTACAGGATCTTCACCATGGCCGAGGTACAGCTGCGCGCGGCCCAGGCTCCCAGGGGGAGACGCTTGTGCTTACTGACCCCACGCCTGCGGGCTCGAGCTGCCGGAGGTCTGGACCGGAGTCAGCCTCAGACCTGTCACTTGAACCGCAAAGACACGCCTTGCCGGGACAGGGAGTGGCTCCCGTATCTCATGTCTCACACCTCCTGGCGGCCTGTGACCTCTGAGCACCCTCTGTCTTAGGGGCTCCCTGAGGCCCTGGCCAAGCCTGCTTCCCGCAGCCCAGTATGTGGACACAGTCACTGTGCTGCACCCAGTAGGCCCTTCACTGTGCGTGTGCATGGTTAACGACCCTGTTGACGGGCAAGTGTTCCTCTCTGCGCCTCTGTGCACCCCGCTCAAGGGTGCATTTTGAAAGAAACACATTGACTGTGTTGGGATTTCAAGCAGTACTCAGCTTAGTATTTCTAATCACATTGGCTCCCAGGGACCTGCATGGGAGGCCAGTTCCAGCAGTCCTCCTGTTCTGCCGCCTCTCGCCCTCTGAACTGCGGGAGCTTGTCTCCCAGACGCGCCTCCTGTCTCTCTAGGGCATCCAGTCCCACGCCAGGATTGGCTGTTACAGTTTTTCTTCTGGTCACAGGTGTACACCTGCCCCAGCCTCACAGCTCTGCTGTAACTTGTTCCCCAGGTGTATGGTATTCGAACCCGTTCCCGTGCTGTGGAGATTTTCACCACTTGTGCCCACATGATCTGTAACATGGAGGAACTGGAGAAGGTCGGTGACAGACTGCCCGCCCAGGAGTGTAGGTGCGGCCGTGCCGGGACGCCTGCTGCCCGGGGGTGCCCGCATCCCGTGCTCTAGTAACTTCCGCATTTGTGTGCAGCTTAGTTTCCTTCCCTCTGAGCCTTCTTTGCTCTGACACCCTAAGCTGCATCCTTTCCACACCAGTCATCACCCAGAGCTTTACCCTCTTCTGTGACCCTTTGTGAAGTGGAATGAGCTGGAAGCACCGACCACTGAGGGTCGGAAGCAGTTTTAAACGTCGGTCTTACGTAAAGGCCATTAACGAGTCCCTGTGGGGACCTGCAGGTGCGCTCTTGGGGAGCCGCTCCCGCCGCCTACAGCGACACCCCTCTGCGGGGAACCTGAGCCCCAAGAAGTCTTAGATGCCACACGTCTCGGTGTTTGACGTGAAGCCAGCGGTCAGGGTGTGTCTGGTGACGGCTTTGGTTTCTGCTTTCAGGGTGCGGCCAAGGTCCTGATCTTTCCCGTGGTGCAGCAGTTCACAGAGGCCTTCGTCCAGGCCCTGCAGATACCGGACGGCCCCACGTCTGACAGCGGGTTCAAGATGGAAGTCCTCAAGGTGAGCACATGCTCCACTGAGACGCTTGGAGTGTCGAGGGTGGTCTGAAGTCACTGATTTTTCTCTGCTGTCACCTGTAACTCTTGGGATCTTTTCTTTGACTTCTCAGGCAGTGACAGCCCTGGTGAAAAACTTCCCAAAGCACATGGTGTCTTCCATGCAGCAAATTCTGCCTATTGTTTGGAACACCTTAACTGAGAGTGCAGCCTTATATCCTTTCCAGGGAGTGTAAGGGGCCTGCTAGCACCGCTAGCTGGGAATCTGGCGCTGGGTCTCATGCTCACGCGGCCCCTGTCCTAGTGTCCGCCTGTCTCTAGTGTCGGGGGCGGCGGTCCCCTGGGAGCACGCGCCAAGCAGACTCCAGATTCTGTTTCTTTACTCTTCATCATACTTACGTGAGGACAGAGGTGAACTACACAGAAGAGGTAGAAGACCCTGTGGACTCTGACGGTAGGTCGCTGGTCTGGTCTCAGCAGGGTCGCCGTGTAGTGGGGAGAGGGGTCTAGGAAGGAGAGAGAAGAGAGGGCAGGAGCTCAAAGGCTTCACTCCTCTTCAGTGAGCTTTCTGATTGAGTTTTCTTTCCGTGTATTAGATGTGGGGGAATGAGAAACTGAAAATCTGTTCCTCAGAGGCATTTGCATGAATCTCATAAAAGTGTAGAATTTCTGAATGGGGCAAGGTGCCTTAAAGCCCGTCTAATCCAGCCTGCTTCTGCTATTTTGCCTATTTCAATTTTGGGGTCCCACTTAATGAGACTATTGTCTCTATTTTAATATTTTTTAAGAATTTCAGATCACAAATAGACATGCTAGAAAATATTTCAGTGATTCTGGTTCTTATGCTTGAAAAACCAGTGTTCAATATCTTTAAGTTACTTTCTTTGACTCCTCAGACCCCTCTTCCATTCCCTTGGGAATAATAATTAGCAAGTACTTCAAGTATCCACTAACTTACAGAGATAACATAGTTCATTTCTAGCGTATGTTGCTTTCTTGTCTTTAAAATCTTGTGTTTTTCCTTTAGGTGAAGTCCTGGGCTTTGAAAATCTCGTCTTTAGCATTTTTGAATTTGTCCACGCTCTACTAGAAAACAGCAAGTTCAAAAGCACTGTTAAAAAAGCCCTGCCGGAGCTGATTTACTACGTCATCCTGTACATGCAGATCACTGAGGAGCAGGTGAGTGCCCAGTGCGAGGCTGCTGCCAGCTGTGTTGGAAAAGTGCACTGAGTGAACGGTCGGTATCTAGCAGCCTGAAGAATCACTTCCCAGGAAGCCCCAGGGAGGCTCTGGTGTCATTTTATTGCCACATCCCTGGGTCTCCGGGTTCTGTCGGCTCCTGTACTAAGTAACTGGACTTCGAGAATACTTCCACACTTACCCCTCTGGGACCACTACCAAGGACCCTGAGACCCAAAAGAACCTGTCCTTTCTCTGAAAACAGTGAAATGCAGAGTGCAGGTCATCAGCCTGGTTAGCGAGTCACTAGACCAGACAAGAGCACTGAAAATAAGACAGTGCCTGTCCCACACAAACAGACTGGCATGATTTCCACGCTAAGTGCCCCGCCAGACCGAGGGTGCTCAGAAAGTCCACCTGCCAGAGTGGCGGCTGACCAGCAGTCAGAGTGACGAGGAGCGCACCCTGTTTTACAGTAGGGTTTGCAGGAGGGCGGCCGCCTCTGCACCTCCCTTGATAAGGGGTTTGCTTCTCTGCATCTAAAGGAAAAGACTTCTGGGGTTAGAGTGCTGCTCAGGGTGCAGACAGAAGGCTGAGGTCTTCCCGTGTGTCTAGGGGAGGTGGGGTGGAAAGAGGGAGCGTGGACCAGCTTGGCAGCCTCACAGAGACCTGCCTTCCTCCTCTGTCCAGATCAAAGTGTGGACGGCCAACCCCCAGCAGTTTGTAGAAGATGAAGACGATGATACTTTTTCCTACACCGTTAGGATTGCAGCACAAGACCTGCTGCTGGTAAGAGGACGCCTTGATGCCTCCGCCAAGCAGTCCCAGGGGCGCGAGAGCTTTTCCTTGTCGGGCTCACGGGCTGCACGGTGTTGGTGTGACCTTCCTTAGACGTGCTGGGGGGTAACAAGGCAGCATCTCCAGTGCAGCTTGAGGCTCAGGAACCCGGGAGGCATTGCTGCTGGTCCTGATCCACGTGTGAATACTGGATGTGGAATGTGTGCAGAGGACAATGTTGTGCTGGCTAAGGGGAGGGGGACTCAGGAACATTCCAGCTTAATTCACTCTTCACCAGGAATCTGTGGCTCAAACTAGAGATCGGAAAGTTAAAAACAAAACAAAAAACACTTAGGTTGCTGAGAGGTGAGCGTCCATCTGGAGGTCTGTCCCTGTTTCTTTGGCTCTGGCTGGAGCACAGAACGTGGAGGCTCCATGAGGGAGCTGCTGCTGGCTGCCTGCTGGGCGAGGCTTGTTCTCCGTGTTGGTGTGACTGCTTGTCATCATCCTGCAGCGTCTCTGCAGCCCCGAGAGAAAGCACACCCAGGTGCAGTTAGCAGAGGGCTCCCAGAGTAGAGGTCTGGTCCCTGGCCATCCCAGGATGTCTCTGGCTGACCCCTTGTGCTCTGCTGACCATAGCCAGAGGGGCTCTGCGCGGCATTAGCTTTCCAGTGCCTGCACGCTGCGGGGCATGGGTGCTGCCCTCCCTCCATTAACGACCTCCGTCTGTCAGGGGTGGGTTTTGGTCAGACTTGGCCGCATGTGTGTGAAGGAGTTCCAGCCGTTCAGTGCGCGGTGAAAGTGGGTTTAATTTGCACAGAAACACGTCTCGGCCCCTCCTCTCTCCCTAGGCTGTGGCCACTGATTTCCAGAACGAGAGTGCGGCCGCCCTGGCCGCTGCAGCCACGCGGCACCTACAGGAGGCCGAGCAGACCAGGAGCAGCGGCGCCGAGCACTGGTGAGGGCGAGCGGCGCAGGCGTGTGCGGGGCCCCGGGGCCGAGGAAGGCAGGGCCCGCTTGGACCTTCCCTTCTAAAGCAGTTCTTCCCCTCCTTTCGGTAGCTGATTACGCCGCCTTTCTTTCACCCCTTCTTTAAAGGCCTTGAGAGGAGGACTTTTGTTTGTTTCTGTTTGTGTTAAATGACACTGTTTTCAGCTCTGGGCTTGGGAGGGAGAGCAGCTGGAGCGCCCTGCCCGAGTCTTCGCCCTCACAGGCTCCCCGTGGGGGCAACGTGGCTGGCTCTAGCAGGCGTGTCCCCACCTGACAGGTGGAAGACTCACGAGGCCTGCATGCTGGCCCTGGGCTCAGTGAAGTCCGTCCTCACCGACGGTGTGAAGAGCGGCCGGGTCCACTTTGACATGCACGGGTTCCTGGCCGGCGTCGTCCTGGCAGACCTCAGCCTCTCAGGTCCGTGTCCGCGCCGCGCTGCCCACGCAGTTGTGGGGCTCCCAGGGGTGATGAGCCTGCTCCCAGCTGTTCTTAGGGTGAAAGTCCTCCTTCCACCCCAGACCTTGAACCCATCTGAACCTCTGCAGCTGCCCCGGGACCTTGACTCACGCTTCACCGTCTGGCGATTAGTGCCCCTCACTCTCCCACGCTCTTCGCACTTCCCAGATCAGCGCTCACACTCACGGCTGCGTTTTGGAGCTTGGATAGAATGCAGATCTGGTTGCTGTGCGTTAAGAACTCTGGGTGGAGTTCTGTCATCACAAAGTCTAGAATACTCTCAGGCAGTCTGTCAGGCTCATCCTTTCTGTTCGTTTCCTGTCATTTTTCTCAGATTACTTACTCTTTTTCAAACTGTTCTATCCAGATAATTAAAACGTTCCGTTCTCATGTCCCTGTTAGCCACCAGCCTTCGAAAGAAATGCCCTCTACTGCAGGAGACTGGTCTCTCAGCAGGGCAGGGCAGTGGCTGAGGAGCACTCTTGTCTCTGGGTGACAGGTCCCGCTCCGTCGCGCCCGCCCACACTTGCTCGCCCACCAGAGCCAGACCCCACCCCACCGCAGAGTGCGGTCCCTGCTTCCTCTGTGAGCGTGTCAGTCCTGGGGCGCTGGGCGTTGTTCACGCCATCCTCAGTCCACTCCCTGCCTCCTCCTCATAGGAGAGCCCTTCAGTGAGAACCTTCTGCTCGGCCTCTCAGCAGGTGCTCTGTTGCAGGATGTCTCACACCATCGCTTGCATTTTCTGAGTCGCAGAATTACAGTGGTTGAGCATCCAGAGCTCATACCCACTGGGCAAGTCCTCCTTCACTCTGCTTTTATCAAATGCTGCATTATGTTGTGGCGGATGAGTATGTTTCCTTCTCCTAGTAGAGTGTAAGCTGTTTGAGACTAGAAATCATGGCAGATACACCTTTATATCCCACAGTGCCTTGCACGTAGTGGGCGTGGTGTCATCAAGTGTTGAACCAATGGTTGGAATCAAATCCGTCAACATAGTTTCGTAGAATTTGCCCGAGCAAAGCTTTTCTGTGTGAGCCGTTCTCAGATGTGGGCCTCAGCACCCCTCTACGCTTTTACAAATTATCAATGATTCCAAGGAGGTTTTTCTGTGAGATGTGTGTCAGTATCTAACATATTGGTAATTAAAACTGAGCAGCTTTCAGAATACAAGAAACACAAGCATGCATTCCATTCACTGTCACAGCCATGGTGTCATACGTGATGTAATCTCTGGACAGCTCCACTGTGTACCTGAGAAGGAATGGGAGTGAAAAAGACACGTAAGGTCTTGGTATTGTTATGAAAATAGTTTTAACTATCGGGACTTCCAGGAGTCCCTGAACGACACTTTGAGAATTGCTGCTCTGCATCCTGTGTATTAGTATGTAATCACTTGGCACAGCTTGTTCAGTTCTCATAGTCTCCGTCCTCACGATCTGTACTGCCCGCAGAGGACAGTGACCCTAACTGGGCGCTGGAGCGTCAACCACATAGACATCACAGGAACGGCAGAGTGAGGTGTTAGCTTCTGGGCAGGTGTGCGTCTCCAGACAACCTGCAGGGTCAGAGGTGCCGCAGGAGAGCGTGCCCTTCCTCTGCCACACAGCCGCCCGTTACTGCAGCAGGCTGAGGGGTGGGGGGCGTCGTGGGACACCTGTCTGTGGTCCAGCCCCTAATTGCTCTCTCTCCCTCCCAGTGTCTCCTTTCCTCTTGGGCCGGGCCCTTTGGGCTGCCAGTCGGTTCACTGTTGCTATGTCCCCTGAACTGATCCAGCAGTTTCTTCAGGCAACAGTTAGTGGTCTTCATGAGACACAGCCCCCATCCGTTCGAATTTCTGCTGTGCGAGCCATCTGGGGGTGAGTACGCCGCCTTAGGACAGTAAGCACTGTTTCAAGAGAAAATTACTCGGTAGGAGTCCTGGACAGCAGGTGTCCAGGGGTTATGCTGCTTGGAAGTTTCTGAAGATTAGCTGCAGAACGGATGCTGGAAGGACAAGGAGGGAGCCGTGCCAGGAGCGCGGCTTCTGTGCATCCCGGAGATAGCCCGTTCCCTTTTACTCCTCAGCCCTCCCCTCTCCCTCCTGCTGGAATCACCTGGACCCCTCCCCTCCTCACAGAGCTGGAGGACCCGAGGCTCTGAGAGGCAGAACCAGCTGCCTGGGGCCGCACAGCCCTGGGGCACGAAGCAGTCAGAGCCCTGGTCATTTGGTGATTGATTGCCCCTTGTTAGAGTCCAAACTGGGAACAGTGTGGCCTGGAAACACTGCTCACTTTTTCCTGATTTTATTTCTTTTTCACAGCACGTATACTAATGCCCCAACTTGTCATTTATTTGTATTCCTTCCCAGACCAGACGGAGCATTGTTATTTTCAGAGTATTTTGAAGTTCAAACTTAAGAGTCTCATTTGAATCCTAAAAATTGCCAAAAACCCTAAAAACACAGAGTTTGTCTTCCACCTGCGTGTACTGTCTTCCTACTTTGAAGCAGAGATTGAGATGCGTGATTACACGTCCTAGGAAGCAGCGGTGGGGGTGGTGTCAGGAAGATGTCTCAGGTGCCCGTTGCTCTTACCCTCCCTCAGCAACAGTTTGGCATCTGTCCAGGGGAGGAGATTGTCACCCCTGGTGCCGTCTAAACCAAGGAGAGCCGTTCTGAGAAGACAAGCCCACACCCCGGTGACTAAGTCACCACCCCCAGTCCTGGCTGCAGCCCTGGATGTGACTTCAGTCCCTGAGGACTTGGCTCCAGCCCCGTCTGGCTTTGGTTCTGCCACCAGCACCACACACCAGGGCCCAGGGGGTCTCATCCACCTGTGTGTCAGGTAACAGGCACACAGACCTCGGTCCCAGCTGTGGACCCCGTGTGGCCCACGGACTAGCCCTAGCACCTCTCAGCCATGGCCCAGGAGCCCCTGAGGAGCACTGATTTAGACAGTCACCTTTGAACCAGGGGGCCTTCGTTGAAGTCCAGAAGTCTAGTGGAGAAGTTCCAGCACACCCCTGGACCGAAAAATCCAAGATTGTCACCTTGAAGAGGCCAGTCAGTAAAGACTAGAGGAAGTGACTGCTACTTCTCCTGTGAAGACAGCAATGCAAGATGTAAAGGAACTCGAAAAACCAAGGAAGCGTGACACCACGAAAGAAAACAATAATTTTCCAGTGGCCAGCCCCAAATCTGTGATTTACCCAGTAAAGAGTCCAAAATAGCCACTTTAAGGAGCTCAGTGAAAACACAAGAAAACACAGCAAAGACAATCCAGTGAGATCAAAAGAACTGTTCACAAACAAAGTAAGTTCAACAAAGAAGGAGAAATCATAAAAAAGAACCGAGCAGAAACTGTAGAGCAGGAGGGCACACAGTGAAATGAGAGGTGCGGCAGGGAGCATCAGCAGCGGGGGCGCGCCGAGGAAGGGTCTGAGCTGGAGGACAGGGCCTCTGACATCCTGTCGGGGGAGGAGAAGAAAGGAGAAAAGGAGTGAAGAGCGTGTGAACTGTGGGGTCCCCAGGGAAGAGGGGGAGGGAGCAGAAAGCTTTTAGAGAAGTAATGTCTGAGAGCTGGCCAAATCTGAGGAGATATTTGTGCATCCCACTTACAACGCTAATGTATCACCCCAGACTTTCCGTCCAAAAGTACCTTCTCCAAGACACAATACAATGAAACTATCTAAAGTCAAAGACAAAGAATTGAAAAGCAGCAAGAGAAGGGGGGAAGGTGTATTTCAAGTGGTAGAGCGCATGCTCAGCGTGCATGAGGCCGTGGGGTCCATCCCCACTACCTCCTCCGAGAATAAATCAATCCTGAATAAACCTAGTTACCTCCCCCCACCAAAAAATACATAAATAAACTTTTAAAAAAAGGCAGCAAGAGGGGGAAAAAAAGTTCTCCCTTACAAGTGAACTCACATAAGGCTGTCAGCAGGTTTCCCAGCAGAAACTTTGCAAGCCCAGAGAGAGTGGGATGACAGAAGAAACTGCCTATCGGGGTGCTTTACCCAGCAAAGGTGTCCTCCAGAAACGAAGCCAAAATGAAGACTCTACCAGACAAACAAAGCTGAAGGAGTTCTTCAAACTGAAATGAAAGGATCCGCAAGAGGGGAGCAGAGGGACCACAGAAAAGCCAGAGAGCAATAAATAAAATGGGCTTCCCTGTCAAAACTACTTTAAATATAAATGGATACATTCTCTAATCAAAAGTTAGAGTAGCTGAATGAATTTAAAAAAAAAGAAAGACCTAACTGTATGCCACCTACAGGAGACCACAGGTTTAAGGACACACATACGCTCAGAGTGAGGGGAAGGAAAAAGATACTCCGTGCAAGTAGAAACCCAGAGAGCGAGGGTAGCTATGCTTTTATCAGACAAAATGGACTTTAATTCAAAAGCTGTAGCAAGAAACAAAGGTCATTATATGATAAAGGGGTTAATTCATCAGGAAGATAGAGCGATTACAAATACACATGCCCTGACATCAGCGCCCCTAAGACGTTCAGCACGTGTTAGTATCTGGAAGAAGAGGCAGGCAGGAATCCAGTAATAGCATGAAGCTTGTACCACTCAGCATGGTTAGCCCATCCAAAGAACGAATGAGGGGACGTTGGACTTAAACCATGCTTTCAGCCGTACGGACCTAACGGACATGCAGAATGTTTATCCAACAGCCGTGCAACACGCGTCCTTCTCAAGCATGCATGGAACGTTCTCCAGGATAGGTCATAAAACAGGTACCCGTGAATTTAAGAAAATTAAAGTCATACTACGTATCTTTTCTGACCACATTGGGATGAAACTAGAAATTAATTACAGTGGGAAACTGTAAAAAACATTACAAATATGTGGAAATTGAACAACACGTTTCTCAACAACCAATGAAAAGCTCTTTGATTTCAAAGAAGAAATCAAAAGAGAAATCTAAAATGTCTTGAAACAAATGAAAATGGATGCACAACATACCAAAACTTACGGGATGCAGCAGAAAAAGTCCTGAAAAGGAATTTTATAGATTAGAAAAACATCTACATTAAGAAAAAAGAAATATCTTGGGGAGGGTACAGCTCAGTGATACAGCGCATGCCTTGCACACACAAGGTCCTGGGTTCAACCCCTGGTACCTCCATCAAAAAGTAAATAAATAAGTAAAAGTAATTAATTACTATCCCCCTGCAAAAAAAATAAATAAATAAAAAACCAGAAACTAACAGTGCAACTTTACACGTCAAGGGACTAGAAAAAGAACAAAGCCCAGAGGTCAGAGCAGAAATAAGTGAAATAGAGACCAGAAGATACTAGGAAAGTTCAGTGAAAGTAGAACTGGTTTTTTGGGTGGGGTTTTGTTTGTTTTCTTGGGACTGGTTTTTTGAAAAGATAAAATTGACAAACTTAAGGCAAACTAAAAAGAAAAGAGAGAAACTCAGATACTAAAGCAGAAATGGCAGAGGAGACGCCACAGCCAGCACCACAGAGACACAGGGTCGGAAAAGACCCTGTGGGCAAGTCTGTGCCTACAAACCGGAGAACCTGGAAGGAGCGGGCAAGCTCCTAGAAACACACGGGCCGCCAAAACCGAGTCATGCAGAACGAATGAGCAGACCAATGGCTAAAACAGAGACAGAGTCAGAAGCCTCCAGTAAGGGAAAAGCCCAGGACCACGAGGATTTCGCTGGTGAATTCTACCCAGCATCTAAAGAATTAGTGCCAGTCCCTCTCAAACTCGGCCAAAAACATTGAAGAGGGAGGAGGGAGCACTTCCAGACGAACTTGACATGGCCGGCCACCCGGGGACCCTTGCAGGAGAGGACAGCTGCCGGCCAGCTGCCTCATAAATGCAGGCGCAGAAGCTCTCAGCACGGCGTCAGCACGCCGAGTCCAGCACGGGTCAGGGCTCTGCCCAGCGCGCGCCAGCACGCCTGGACCACCGCGCTGATAGCATGGGAGGTCGCAGACCGGCTACCTCCATAGACGCAGAGAAGACTTGACAAAGTGCAACATCCACTCATGATAAAAGCTTCCAGCAAAGTGGGTATAGAAGGAGCACGCCTCAGCACAATGAAGGCCACGTGTGACGAGCCCCTGGGCAACATGTTCAACAGCGAAAAGCTGAAAGCTCCTCTGAGACCGGGATCTAGAAGAGTGGCGACACCACTCCTGTCGCCGTGGCACTGAAAGTCCCAGCCAGGGCAGCTGGGAAAGAAATGGTCAGAAACAAATTTTAAAAACATTATTTGCAATTGCATCAAGAACAATGAAACACTTAAGAATAAGTTTAACCCAGGTGGTGGAAGATCTGTGCATGGAACATTATAAGATATTGGGGAAAGAAGACAAGCTGAAAGCATCACGCTTCCTGATTTTAAACCGTATGAAAGCTATAGTAATCAAAGCAGTATGGTATTGGCCTAAAAACAGACAGAAAGATCAGTGGAGCAGAACTGAGAGCCCCTCTATGAACCCAGACACGTATGGTCACTTACTGTAAAACAGAGAAGCCAAGCATATGCAATGGGGAAGGAGATGGTGCTGGGAAAACTGGACCCTTATCTTGAGACCATGTACTGAAGCTGACTCAAAATAGACTGAAGACTTGAACATAAGATGTGAAACCATAAGGCTCCTGTAAGAAAACAAGTTAAGCTCCTTGGCAGTAGTCTTGGCAGTGATGTTTTAGATTTGACACCAAGAGCAACGGCGAAAATACACAAGTGTGGGACTACATCAAACTAAAAAAGCACAGCAAAGGAAACCATTAGCCAAACGAAAAGGCACCCTACCTCATGGGAGACAATGTTTGCAAACCATTTAGCTGATAAGGGGTTAATGTCCAGAATATATGAAGAACTCAGCTCAGTACCAAATAAAATAGTCTTGATTTTTAAAATGGCGGGTGACTTGAATGAACATTTTTTTCTGAAGGAGACATACAGGCAGGTAGACGACAGGTGCATGAAAGGGTGCTCGACATCACTTGTTATGAGGAAAACGTAAATCAGAGCCTCAGATACCGCCTCACACCTGTTAAAATGGCTGCTATCAAAAATTCGAGAAATAGTGTGTTGGCGAGAATGTGGAGAAAAGGGAACCCTTGTGCACCGTTGGTAGGAATGTAAAGTGGCACAGCCACTGTGGAAAACAGTATGGAGGTTCCTCAAAAAGTTAATAATAGAACTCCCGTATAACCCAGCAGTGTCACTTCTGACATTGAAATGAAATGAAAGGAGTGAAACAGGACCTCAGAGATACCTGCGCTCCCGGGCTCGCTGCCTCGCTGGTCACCACAGCCAGGACATGGAAACAGCCCAGATGTGCGTCTGTGGATGGACGGGTGCAGATGTGCCATGTGGTCGGCGGACTTACTCAACTGCGAGAAAGAAAGAAGGAGATCCTGCCATTTGCAGCAGCACGAGTGGACCTTGAGGGCATTGTGCTAAGGGAAGTAAGTCAGAGGAAGACAAACGCTGCATGGTGTCACTTACATGTGGAATCTTAACGTCAAACTCATTGTGAAAGAGACTGGAAAAGTGGTTGTTGGGGGAGGGGATGTGGAGAGACCAATGAAAGGGCCCAGGCTCTCGTCTGTAGGATGAGTGAGGTCTGAGGGTCTGACGTAAGGCACGGTGGGAATAGCTGGTGACACTGTAGTGTATAATTGAAAGTAGGAATTAAGTGTAAGATAGATCTGAGGCGATGAGTGCGTTAATAAATTAGGCGAGGAAGACCTTTCAGAACTTAAATGTATGTCAGATCACCACAGTGCACATTTTAAATCTTACGGTTTTTTGTGTGTCAGTTATACTGCAATAGAACTGAAAAATAAATTTGAAAAATTTTAAGTTTTTTACAAGTTTATATTATGTGAAGAGAACTTTTTCTTAAGTGATTTTCTGTTCTCTGAGTACACGCGTAAGGATTTTCTTGAAAGGTGTAACAGCTGTCTCTGGAGAACTGACAAGCCACCAACATGCACACCAGAGGTGGGGACACTCGTGCACGTTACAGAGCGTGTTGAAGACTGGACCCCTTGTGTGGTCCATGGTCACGGGCAATGGGCCCAGCTGTCCTCCTCCTCACAGCCAGAGGCCCCCTTGGGTCACTTCCCTCTTCATTTTCTGGCTGGTTACAGCCTGGCTCGCGTCTGAAACTTCATTCTCAAGTCCCAGCAGCCCTTTCTGGTCATCACAGCACCTTTGCTTTTCTTTCTTCTTTTACCCCAATTTTAATTTATCCGTTCACGTCATGGTGTATGGATTATTGCAAACTGCTGTAAGTCATTCCTGAAACAAGACACTGAGTGGCAGACACTCACGCCGCGTCGCACTTGTCTGATCCTGTTGCGCTGGCCTTTGTCCGGGGCTCCAGGTCTGTGTTTGTGCTCATGTCAGTACTGGATGGGTATCCTACAGGTACCCGAAGACCAGTGCCCACCGCTGAGCTTACTGTTGTCCGGCTCGCAGCCTGCCTGTCTGCGCACCCTGTTTCAGTGAGAGTAGAAGCCTCGTACCCTCAGACCTTACACCTGCAGGTAGAGCCCTGGCACTGCCCGCTCTCCTTAGCCCCTCATCTCCTCTGCCTCACTCCCTGGCGCCCCCTGGAGCTCGAGCGCTCGGCTGCTCACCGGAGTCACTGCAGCAGTGCCTGGCGGGGCTCCCCGCCTGTGGACTCACCACGTGGGCTATCCTGTCTCAGCTGTCCAGCTGATCTGAGACAGAGCACTGTTGTTTTTGCTCCTGTAATTAAAACTCTCCTGGCTCCAGTTTTGCTCTTCAGACTCTGAGACACAGGGGCCCCAGGAGAAAGTCATAGTATATCAGAGGGTGTGTGAAGCCACAGGGTAAATATATAGCACTTTCTGGGGATGTCAGTTTTCCTTGAAGACTATGGGGTAGGGTAAGGAAGAAATTTGATAGAATTAGGTAGAAGTAGTTTATAAGGGAAAAAAATAAAAACCTTTGAGACACACTGGCTTCCAGAATAAAGTCTAACTCCTTAGCACGGCACAGATCCCCTGTGCTCTGAGCAGGCGGAGCAGCCTCTGGGGTCTGTCAGGCCGCACAGCTGCGAGCTCGTCAGGAGGGCAGAGTGACTGACCCTCCGAGTGGGGAGCCGGGGTGGGGGTGCTCGTCTAAGGAGTTGAGAAGACGTGAAGACAGCCATTTCTCAAGTATCTGTGGAAGGCCTTGTTCCTGTGCTAGGTTTTAACATACGGAAACAATGGTTTTCTGGGTTTATTGTCATTCTGAAGGTCAGCGAAAGTGAAGACTTAGATGATACATTTTTAGTAATTGCGCCCCACTGGATATGGCAGCAGCACCCAGTAAGTATTTGCTGACTAAGTAAGAGGTGAAAAAGGCAGTGCTGTGCACGGAAGACAAACCTAAACCTACAGACGGTGCAGACGGTGCTCCAGCTTTGTAAGGGTGTGTGCAGCATTTGTGTAAATTGATCTCATTTTAGGATGCCAAAAAGTACAAAACTTTCATAACGTGAAAGTTAGAAAATAGTCTCTTACTAAATAACGTTTGTTGGAAAAGATGTTAAAACCATAGTAACTATTTAGAAAATAATGAGAGGATATAAGTAAAAATCTTAGGAATGTGACTAAAACAGTAGTCTGAGGAATCATAAGACGTTTAACTTAATATCTTAATCATTTGGATGTAGAATTGTATGATTGAATTTGTTTCAAAACAGAATGGTGGGTGAAAGACATATTAAGGGAAATAACGAAGACCAAAGCAGAGATGAATCAGAAACCAGAAACGGGGGTGCTGGTGTTCACAGAGTATGCCACAGACGGTGTGGGAACCCGACTGACGCTAGCAGCTCCACAAAGCTCCACACGGAAGTGCCGTCACGCATGATGCCGCTGGTGGGGAAGACCGGTACTTGGGGGCCCTTGTGAGCAGCCCTGCTTCCCTGTCCCTGCAGGTACTGTGACCAGCTCAAGGTCTCCGAGAGCACCCACGTGCTTCAGCCCTTCCTCCCCAGCATCCTGGACGGCTTGATCCACCTGGCGGCCCAGTTTAGCTCAGAGGTCCTCAACCTTGTGATGGAGACCCTGTGCATCGTCTGCACAGTGGACCCGGAGTTCACAGCCAGCATGGAAGGCAAAATCTGCCCCTTCACCATCGCCATCTTCCTCAAGTACAGTAACGGTAGGCGCCAGGGCGGGCGGGCACCATGGCGGCAGGGTGCAGGCAGGGAGCGCGTCGGCCTGCCGGTCCTGGCGCCAGCCGCAGAGGGTAGGGCACAGCAGGCCTGAGAGGTAGAGTGCCCGCTCCTGTGACTCTTAGTCTCCGGTGGGAACTGGGGAGAGATGATGAATGAAGCGCTAACCAGCAGGCGGTGTGATTCAGAACCCTGGCGACGAAGTAGGAAATTGAGCAGCTAAATCCAAAACTTTCTAAAAGAAAAGGCCAAGAAATATAATGAGAAAAGGAGGTACTGAAGAAAGCACACCCGGAAGTTTATGAGTAAGGTGTTCATTGCATTTTTCCATAGTAGCAAAAACTTAGAAGTAATAAAAATTAATTAATTATATCCATTAAGTGGAATGCTCTGCAGCCATTAAAAATCAAACTTCTCAGGAGTAATTAAAGCCATGGGGAAGCACTCATGTTATAGTAAGTGAATAGGTGGTTTCCCAAGATGCACAGAGTATAATCCGAAGGTTCGGTTTTGTTTTAGAACAAGAGGTGTGTGTAGATACGTATATAGAAAAAATAGCAGAAGAAAAGACGTCAGAGTGTGAAGGGTAATTATCTCCAGGTGGGGGAACAAGAGCTGTATTCTTTCCTTTGATACTTCTTTACATTTTAAGTTTTCCGGTAGTGAGTGTATATTGGTTACATTCTATTGTCAGAAAATGTGTTGAGGATATTTGTTTCTGAAGAGGGAATGTTGACGTTCAGATGATGTGTAGGCACAGGGCTGGGTGTGTAACGTGATGTCGTACTGAACATTGTGTCTGATTGGCTTTTCTGTGTGACTCTGTCCTGGAGAGGTTTCCACGCTGGGCTCCTGGGCGTAGCTCCTCTCCCGTCACAGGATGTCCCATGCATGGGTATGTCGTGATTGACCTGCTCACTCTGTTTGCGGACACCTAGGTTGTTGACAGTGTTTTCCTGTGACAGATAATGCTGTGGTGGTCTTTTACGTACATCTCAGTGCACTGCACACTGCATACGTTTTTTCATGCTAGAGTGAGGAAGACATTTATATTTTTCTTATGTAGGTAAAGCAAGTCAAACTAAACTTCCCTTTCTGAAGTTTTCCCCTTTGCCCTAAATGGCTTTGGCAGTTCTCATCCACCGTGGCCCCCTGCAGAGATGGCTGAGGTCCTCCTTGACACAGAAACCTGGGGAAATTCAGGGTTCAGGCTGTCTCTGAAACTTTGATATCTTAACCAAGTATCAGTGGGGCTTTTTTTCCTTAAGCATTTGGTTTCATAATCAATCTAAGTTTCACAAGATCTTAGACATTAGAGCTTTGTCCTGGGAAGAGAGCCAGATTTTATTCTGGGAGCAGCTGGTGCTGGCACGACCACGCGCTCCCTGCCCCCCGACACTGAGCAGTGCTCCCCGGTCCTCGTGTCGCTCGTGCCCCCAGGTCCCATGTGTGTGATGCGTTACCTTGGGTGGGGGCCAACGGCAGGTATGGTTCAGCCAGACACACATGCAGACCGTCAGGCGGGGTCCGTGTTGCCTCGCCCACTTCAGATCCTGTGGTCGCCTCGTTGGCTCAAGACATCTTCAAGGAGCTGTCCCAGATTGAGGCCTGTCAGGGCCCGATGCAGATGAGACTGATTCCCACTCTGGTCAGCATCATGCAGGCCCCCGCAGACAAGATCCCCGCTGGGCTCTGCGCGGTGAGTCCGCCGCCGGCATGGCTGGCGTGGCTGTGGAAGGGAGGGAGACGGGGAGGCTGCACATCTTGCCGAGCCTCGCCGCTGCCCGGCTGCTTCACCCACAGGGACTCCCAGGCCTGGGAAGTGGCTCCCGTTCCCACGGTGCTCTCGGGGAATCGAACCGCTGTCACCACACCACACCTGATTGTCCACGGCGTCTCAAACAATGGGCGTCATGCAGAGGCTGAGATGCCATCTGCTCTCTTTTTCTTCAGAAACTTGCCTTTTATTAACGAGCTCCCTCTGGGTTGCTAAGTGGGATCCACGCAGTGAGGATCCTGGCTGGTGGGCCCCCCACCCCAGGGACAGTTCTGACTCTGTCTTCTGTCCTGCAGACAGCCATCGACATCCTGACCACGGTGGTGCGGAATACGAAGCCCCCCCTTTCCCAGCTTCTCATCTGCCAGGCTTTCCCTGCCGTGGCCCAGTGCACCCTCCACACAGACGACAACGCCACCATGCAGGTACCAGCGTGGCCAGCACGGAGCAGGTGGAGAAGCTCACCTCTCAAATCTGTGTTTACCCAAAGAACTTGGGAAGCCTGCAAAAGCCAAGCATTCTGAGCAGCTTAAAGGTGTGGGTGCCAGGCACCCTGCCGTCTGGGTGTGGGTCTGGGTACTGCTGTGACAGGAGAGGTTACAGGCCTGTGGACCTGGGGCCATGAGATGCTTCTGTTGATGAAGTCAGCAGACGGATGCGCTTTGGGTATCTCTAGGCAGATGGTGGTCTGTGTAAGGTCTGTCTTCATCCCCGTGAAGACCTGTAGACACCCCACTCTTTGCTCTCTTAGTTGTTTGTTCAGTGCCAGGGCGAGATGTTTATGGTGAAACTCGGCTGGCTTGTCCACGATCCCTTTGATCAGAATCTGTGCTTCTGAGATAGCTGACGAGTGCAGCGGGGACAGGTAGTGCGCGTCTGCCTGTACTGCGTTCCTGACTCCGGTGGGGTGAGCCCAGCACGGCCCCTACAGGCTCGCCGGCCTCGAGACCCAGGCCTGAGCGTCTGTGCCCCTGCAGACGGAGGCCTCGGGTTTCACTTCTGCTGACCCACTTGCCTCTCTCGTCCTGCAGAATGGCGGAGAGTGCCTGCGGGCCTATGTGTCGGTGGCGCTGGAGCAGGTGGCCCAGTGGCGTGATGAGCAGGGCCACAGCGGGCTGTGGTACGTGATGCAGGTGGTGAGCCAGCTCCTGGACCCCCGCACCTCTGAGTTCACCGCCGCCTTTGTGGGCCGCCTCGTGTCCACCCTGATCTCCAAGGCTGGGCAGGAGCTGGGGGAGAACCTGGACCAGATTCTCCGTGCCATCCTCAGCAAGATGCAGCAGGCGGAGACGCTCAGCGTCATGCAGGTAGGCGGACGGCGCCCCTGCCTGCGCTGCCCTTGCGGAGCTGGCAAGCCCAGCGCCCTTGTGCCAGCCCAGGGAACATCGACGGGAAAGTGGCCGCGTTCCCCCAGCTCTTGACCGGCCAGCCCAGGCCCTCTCGTCTGCTGAGCCTCTGAAGTAGGCGTCCTCCTTGTCCTCCACAGTCCCTGATCATGGTGTTCGCCCACCTGGTGCACACTCAGCTGGAGCCCCTCCTGGAGTTCCTGTGCAGCCTCCCGGGACCCACCGGCAAGCCCGCCCTGGAGTTCGTGATGGCCGAGTGGACCAGCCGGCAGCACCTGTTCTACGGGCAGTACGAGGGCAAAGTCAGGTGGGGCCTCGTCCTGCTCCTCGCCGCTCCTCTCCCCTCCTTGCCCTGCCGACCTGCCCCTTGGGTCCCCTTTGCCCATTGTTTCTTTATCACTGACTGTATGTTCAAGGAGCTGCCATCTTGAAGTTCCCAAAATACAGCCGCACCGGTAGACTGTGTTCTTTGGCGGGGAAGGGTGGGGTAGGTCATTAGGTTTATGTATGTATTCATTTAATGGCAGTTCCAGGGATTGAACCCAGGGCCTGGTGCACGCTAAGCCTGCGCTCCGCCGCTGAACTCTACCCTCCCCACCGCCAGACCATATGTTTTTGATCTCTGCTGGCTGGAGACCCTCCTCTGCCCCTGACTCCACCAGCCAAGCACTGCTGGTGGCCTCCTCTCTTGGTGAAGAGGCTCTCTAGCTTCCCCTCCCGGACTTCTGTCCGCGGTTCCTATACCCCACGCACCTCCCGCGTGGACTCTTGGCCCGCTCCAGCTCTGCTCTCAGCACACTACCTGCAGATGCCCTTCTCTGGTGCGACAGAGGTGCGGTGCCCTCGGGGGGAGCCGCGGGGTGGCCTGACCCGGCCTTCCCCTGCAGCTCCGTGGCGCTGTGCAAGCTGCTCCAGCACGGCATCACCGCGGACGACAGGCGGCTGCAGGACATCCGCGTGAAGGGCGAGGAGATCTACGGCCTGGACGAGGGCGTCCGCACCCGCTCCAAGTCGGCCAAGAGTGGGTGACGCATCCCTGGCCCTCACTGGGGCTCAGGACTCTGGGGCTGGAAGCGGGATGGATGTGACTCCTGTTTTTAGAGCATGGTTGTGAGTGGGGGGCTGATAGGAAGCAGAGACTAGGCAAACAGGGGATTGGAACGCATGGTTCCTTCCTGTTGCTGAGAAGGGACAAAAACAGTCTCAGGGACAAGCACCCCGGCTTGGCTCCACTCGGGCCTGGACACCCGCTTTCAGTTTATCTGTTACCGGATTGCTTTTGGCTTATGGCCCCAACGCGTGGTGGGCAGTGAATGCAGAACTGCCCTCTCTGCTGCGGGCTCGTTACCACCTGCGCTGCCCTGCTGTCCGAGCCTCACGACCAGGGCTTCCTGGTCTCTCATCTGCCCTGACTTCTGAGCTCTCCTGACGTGAGCAGAATGAAGTTATTTAAGTTGTCCCTGGCGGCTGGAGGCGGTGTGGGGCAGGGGAAGCCCGGGCACTGCGGGAGAGGAGCGGCCCGGCGGCGGTCTGACGGAAGCCACCCTCTCCCTCCCCAGACCCCGAGCGCTGGACGAACGTCCCCCTGCTGGTCAAGATCCTAAAGCTGATCATCAACGAGCTGTCGAGCGTCATGGAGGCCAACGCCGCCCGCCAGGCCACACCCGCGGGCTGGGGCCCAGGTGCCGTGCGGGCTCCCCAGGGACTCGGCGCCTGGCCGTCAACTCACAGACTTTCAGACTCTCCACTGGGGCAGTCGAGTCCCTCGAGGCCTGTCCGGGGCTGGCCATGCTGTGTGCAGGGTCTGGAGCAGCCAGGAGGCAGGCCCTTCCTGGTCGGCTTGTCCTCCAGACAGCCTCTTGCCTGCTCTCTCCCCACCGGAACACGCCCAGTCTCGCATTCAGACTCGCTGGGGAGGGCTTGCCCCCACCCCCGCGGGCCTCTCCCCCCAGGACTGCAGGCGCGCGTGGAGACCCTCGGGCCGTCCTGTCCTGGCCAGTCTGGGTGTGGGGGGAGGGCGCGCGCGCTCCAGCGGCTTGTCGTTTCCTGCAGATGATGCCAATGACATGTGGGAGGACCAGGACGAGGACGAGGACGAGGAGGAGGACGGGCTTGCCGGCCAGCTCCTGTCGGACATCCTCGCTACGAGTAAATACGGTAAGCAGTGCCCTGCACGGTGGCACCAAGAACTGGGCGCCCCAGGGCCCTCGGCATGCGCTGGCCCTGACCGCGCGTGGTGTCTCTGGCAGAGGAGGATTACTACGAGGATGACGAGGAAGACGACCCCGACGCCCTGAAGGACCCCCTCTATCAGATCGACCTCCAGGTGAGGCCACCCAGGGAAAGTGCCTGGCGAGCCAGTCCAGGCTCACCCATCCTGCTCCGCCGTCAAGGTTAGGGGTGGCCCAGGCTCCGCACCTGGGTGTCTCCCACCAGTGCTGTGGCCTCGTGTCCTGAGGCCCCGTCCTCGGGCGGACTGCGAGATCCAGTCCCATGCAGCCCTGTGCACGCGGCCCCCTGTGGAACCTCCGCGCCCTCCGGGAGGGTGGGAGGCTCTGTGTGTCCCCACGCGGGGCCAGGCCCTTGGGTGACCGCCCCTTCCCCTGCAGGCGTACCTCACGGACTTCCTGTGCCAGTTCGCGCAGCAGCCCTGCTACGCCGTGTTCTCGGGCCACCTCAGCGATGGCGAGAGGCGGGTGCTGCAGACCATCGGCATCTAACTGGCCCCCCCAGCCCGGCCACACCGGTTCGCAGCCCTTCCCGGCCGTGAGATGCACTTCTCTCTCAACCTCGAGTGGCCTCGTGACCCGGCCCTGGCCTTTGCAGAGTGACAGTGACCGTTCATTAGTGCTGTCGCTAAGGAATGCTGGGACAAAGGGCCCTTTCCAGAGGCCCCCGAAGAACCTTCCTCCCCCTGACCGGCCCCCACCTCTGTTCCTAGAGTCCTCTGCTGGCCAGTCCGGAAACAGGCTGCCCAGGAACAGTGTGTGTCATGGATTACTTTGCCCCGGCCCAGGAGCACAGGACCATTTATGTTCTAAAACAGACCTGTTTACCTTCGTAGGACATCTGACGTGTCCGGTAGGAACACCCTTGAGAAAGGTGCCCTCCGCCCTCCGCCACAGACGCCGGGGTCTCAGGAGCGACACGAAGGAGCCCCGGGGGCCTCTCCTCCTGGACGTCGGTTCTGCCTCGTCGCATGGCAGCCCCTCCTGAAGCTGTTCCTCCGTGTCTGTGCGCACAGGGCAAGCCAGACAGATGGCAACTTGGTTTTCCTTTTTTAGAAAGAAAAAAATTGGGGAAAACATTTTTTTTAAGCCCTCCTGACCCAACTACATTTAACATGTCTCCCCACATTGCCGCGCAGTCTGACGTGCAGAGGGCCCACTTCCTCAGGAACCCTCCCCGGTGGCTGAGGTGTAGCCCTCAGGTCTGCAACGTGTATTTTTCTAGGAGAGTAAAGCAGTCTTTACAAACGAGTTTAGTCCGCATGGTGCAAGGTGTCTGCGCACCTCTGCCTCCCATTCCTTTCAGAAGGAAGACACAGACACGGAGAGGAGTAGGTAGAGCCGCTCAGACCCCCATGCGCTCCAGCAAGCCTTGTCGAGATGACCGTCGGAGACGGGGTGGTGTCCAGTCAGGCGTCTCTGAGGGCGGTCCCTTACTTAGGAGTTTAGTCTGTTGTGGATTCAAAGGTGAATGAGGATGAAACACGGGGAAGAAGGGAGAGCCGGCTCCTTTCGGTCGGGCCCACACCCAGTGCCCTTTTTTAATAGCTACAGAATGTCTCTTTCGGTTGGTGGTCTCACAAGTAGGAACCAGAATATGAAGTGAACTTGACTGTTTTCCAGGAAAGGGCCCCCTGTGGGCACTTCCCTTGCAGGACTGTTGTGGGAGCCCAAGGACTTCAGCCAGTGGTGCCCTGGGGCCAGTAGGTGTCCCTGCTGCTCACCCCACCTCTGGGGCGGGGGGCGGGTGGAAATAGCCTACGGGCCTGTGTTCACAGTGTGGCTGGGTCCCCAGGCCGGCACTGCCTCTGCCCTGCGCAGGGGGAGCCGCGGATTCTGGGGGAGTGATGGCTGGCTGGTGCCCAGAGGCTCCCTCTACAGTTGCGGACCTCCAGGCAATGCCAGCTGGGTTCCGAGAGGTCAAGTCAACCAACCCTGATTTGGCACAAAAGAACGGTCTCATGCCAGCAGCCTCAACCTGTTAGAAGCAGTCGTGTCTGGTGCCAGACCGTCTCTGGGCCTCGACTCCTCCCCGCCTCCAGGTCGGCCCTGGGCCAGGGGCCTCGAGATCTTGAATCCTGAAGGAAAGGGTCCTAGCGTCCCTTAGGGGCCAGCCCTGCCCCGGGACACGCCATGGCTGAGAGCAGAGGGTCTCGGACCCCGTGGTGCTCAGGCATGGCCCCATGTTTCCAGAGCTTTCACATTCGCTGTCCCATCTGCCTTTACATCAGGTGCATGCGTGGGGGCGTCATCCCATCCCACTGACGAGGGAGGGAGTTGGGAGGTGGTGCCCGTTGTCCGAGCAGAAAGGAGGCCCCTGTGGGGACAGGCAGTTGAACTCTAGCTCCTCTTTTGTGTCCTGTCTTCTTGGCCAGAGGAAGCTAACTTCAGCACGGAAGGGCAAGCCGCTCGGTTAGAAGGAGGGGAAGCTCCCGGGAAGACAGCTGGGGGATGATGGTAACATGCGGCTGTTCTGAGACCCGGGGGACGGCAGCTGGGACACCAGGGCTTTCCTGGGAAGCTCCTCGGGAGGGAACTGAAGGGCAGGTGGGAGCCAAAGTCCAGCAGAGGCCGCCTGCCTCGGCCGGGGTGCCAGCGAGGAGTGAGCCGGCCGTGACTCAGGCGGATGCGAGTGACCGAGTTGAATAGACGATACTTGACAGGACTGGAGAGCAGGTCGTGCTGAGCTGGCCTCAGGGTCTGACGTTATGAGCAGAACAGATAAGGTCTGGATGTGGGGAATTGGAGCAGGAGGAGGGCAGGAGTGAGTAGCCAGCTGTCCGACGCACAGGAGCCCGTGGTGGGCAGGTCTGGCGTGCCCCAAGGCTCTCCCCAGCCTGGCCCTTCCTTTGATGTGAGTGGCTGGTGAAGGTTTTGGCCCTGCCTCTTCCAAAGGAGAACTTGGGGCCATTTACAAGAGTCGTACTAGGCGAGGGAGAGGTGCTGATCCAACTCTTAGGAAACAGGAAAGCCCTGGGAAGGGTGGTCGCTTGGGGCC